GGCAGCTGTATTCCACACTGAGTGGATCCACTGATAGTCTCTATGCATGACTCTAATTGCAGTACAAAAGATTCAGAGCCTGGAAGTGACAAAGGTTTGGAAAACTGCAGCAAGGGCCAGGCCAAGGAAAACTGAAAGCTAAAGACTTTTCAGGACCTTATTACAACCTAGGACTTTGGGTCAGTGATGGATCCAATAAGATGTTGAGACTGGAAACCTCTGAGATGAAGGGCAGCCATATCTCCTAGTACCAGGATCAGCCTCCTAACAACTTCCTGACAACTCAAGATGCTCACAGTGCTTTCCTGTCCCCAGGAGTATCACATCTATCTGGATTTATCTTGAGCCAGGGCACACTCATCCAAGTCTGTCTCTTTCTGAGGTTCTGGAAAAGCCTGTGGGTTATGGGTCAGATATAAACCAGATTCTCAGAAATCTACTGAGAGTGCTTCAGTTCACAATACCTCTACCTCACCCCAGGCAGAGCAGACACATGGTGAACAGAAGGATGCCAAGAGGGAAAGTTGTGGGATCTCATAGATGAAAGCCCCAGAAGAGGATAAGTCATTACCCAGGAATACTTTAAAATCAGTAAGAAAAGAGTAAATGGCAGATAGGTGGTGGAAGGCCAGGGCTAATGGGGCTTAGCCCCCACTCAAACTAATTTTGCAGCAGCCAGCAACAACAGCAGCTCCACAGTGCCACCATCCCACAGTGCACAGTGCCACTCGGTGTGCAGCCACCTGTGTGGCTCCACTGCTCCAGTACCACTGCCACGCTACCATGCCCAGATCCCCCACCACGCACTCCTCAGCCCCCACAGATAATATTTCTCCTGCCATTAGTGAATGGCACCCCTGAAGAGTGACTCCATGCACTCTGACTAGGCCTTCCAGGAGAGTAAGAAAACAGCTCCTGATCAGTCTGCCCAACCCGCAAAAGAAGCATCCTGGCACATGACCTCTGTCCCAGGCCAGAAGGAAATCATCAACCAAAGACACAAGCACAAGCTTCATGTTACACAAACCCAAATAAAACTGGGTAATTATCTCACTGTCATCTCTGTAATGGCCCCATTCTAACCTGCAAAGATACAAGACAATGAAAGTTAACTGTTCATATTAAGTTCCTTAAGCTAAGGCAAATCCATGCTTGCTTACAAGCAGTAAGCCTCTTGACCTCCCTGGGGGAAGCAGTAACAATCCCCAGCAAATATGGGCCTAAGTGAGATCCCACGCCTTGTTTGTTATTAAACCAGGGAGGTGGTTGCCTGTCTATGGGGCAGCATGGACCAAAGATCCCTGCCTGTCATTGCAACGTGCCATTAGCAACGCGTAGGGGGCACACATGGGTGCATGCGCACCCCCTGAGATCAGCACCGGAAGTGCCGGTGATCAGCTGCTGGGGGACCACCCCCTCCCACCCCCCATTGGCGATCTGGTGCCCTCCCAGACTCGGGAGGCACCAGTCACCCATGCACAATGCTGCTAGAAGCAGACCTCATGGGACATGTTTTCCATGGGACAGACAGTAATTGATGACTGAATGTCTCCCTTGTCATACCTCTCCCACCTATAACAGTCAGGACCAGAACTGGAAGGACTCTTAATTAATCCTCACCCTCAACCCTGCCCCCTTGGGCTTCCCAGAACTCAGTGACATGCAGCTGTGATCATCAAAGAGTTGTAGCTTCTAAGGCTGCTCTTTCCAAGGGCAAAATGAAGGTTTGAGTGCAAAAGGTTCAAAGTGATGTCCCAGTGCTCCATCTTCTTTGTAGCCCCTGCTGTGCCCACACCTTCCAGCGGGCTGAGAGCAGCAATAACATTCACTATCTGAACTTGGAGATAGCTCACATGCTCCACTGAATATGACATTTATTTATAAGCATCCTACCACATTGAGCAATGCAGCCTATGCATCAGGCTTAAAATAAAGGGGCTTCCTTTTCCAAGCTGGCATGCAGTCCTTCTGCTGACCCTGCACAGGCAGCTGGGCCCACATAAAGCAGAGAAGGAAGTTTCCCCTTCCTCTCCACCATACATGGATTGCCTCTTGACTCCCAGGCACCAAAAATAATCCAGTGGGTCAGTTTAAATTGAGATATTTTGAAGCACTTCTGCACTGATTCAAATTCCTGCAGCAGATAACAAGCTAGGACCAGAGCCCTGAACTGGTCTGCTTGTCTTCTGCATTTCTGTGAGGGGAAAATGGGGAAATCTAGGTCCGTTCTGCCTCTGAGAACATGTAGAATGAATCCTGAAAATAAGAGACTGTGTTCTAATGAGATGATTGAGAAGAGAGAAGAGATGACCCTGGTTAAAGATGGATTTTAGAGCAGAGGGGAATGATTCTAGTCATTCCAAGGGCTTGAAAACACCCCAGAGATCCACTGCATAGCTCTGAAGAAGCATAGAGCCTCCTAGACTGTCCCTGCACTAGTCACCTGGAGCCAGCAGAGGGGCCACAGCATCATTGTGCCATGACTGCATCAATTTGGGACTGTACTGGCTGGTCCTCAACCTTCTGGCAGCACCCTGGGGGGTGGGGGTGGGGGGGAGCTGTATTCACCTTGTATTCTCATACCTCCTCTCCAGACAGGCTCCCTACAGAAGCTGGCATAGGCCACAGTTCACTCAAACCCATGAACAGCAGCACGTGTTTATCTTAGGTGTAAGAGCTTTTCTCTTTCTCTTTCTTTCTCCCTCATGTGGCATGTTTGTCCTTCTTGTCCTCCCCTCCCCAGTACTATTAATTGTCATTTGTAGCTTATTTTCCATTGCACTATGGCCAAAAGAGAGCATGAATGCCTGCCTTCCTTTCCCACTAGTGAGCCAGGGAAGGCTGTTAGCTATGTGGTATGCCATGGAGTGCTGTCACCTTGGGAAGCCATTCTGAGAGCTCATACGTCAGGGCACCTGACAGAAACTTGACCTGCTTAATTCAAAAGGGAGTATATTAGGAAAGTAAATGATTAGCTCAGGCTGTAGTGGTTCTAGGAACCCTTGGTCTAGCTTGCAATGTGGTTACATCAGCTTCTGCCACAGGATATTATTCTGTCACCAAAAAATGCTTTGTATTAAAGAGGTGGCTCTCCTGGGAGGCATCTGTGCTGACTCTGTCCATGGAAATAAGCCCTGATGTAAAGCAATTGCTCACTCAGTGCCCAGACTTATCAGGTGGCAAAGAGCAGCTGAATGTGCCTTTCTCGGCAT